ATTATAACTCGTCATAAAATATAAAAGTGAGGTTTTWAAGGTTGAAATTTAACTCAAAAAACCATATGCTAGATAAAATTCTACAGTAAATTAAATCGACAGCGATAAATTAATAAAGCATAAGTAGGTATAATAGTAATAATGTTTTCTTATTAAATAAATAAAACGGCTAGGTTAAAAATATTTGTTAATTTTGTCCTATTCGTTGTRAACACATTAAATTGAAAAAACTGAAGAAGATTAATTAAAGAAGTTTGGATTRAAAACGCGATGTATACTATTTTATGGTCTATATTTTAACACATTTTAAAATTTGTTTGAAATGTGACTACTAAGCGCTCTATGACTAGCTCTTAACACACTAGACAATTCGTAGTCATATCACGATAATTCTCATGATGTTATATTATTATATTATTTTAAAATTACTCAATTAACATCCATTGTTGTCAGTTTTTGTTATTCCTTCTAACCCATAACAGTTATCGTTAATAAAATAAAGTTAATATTTTAATATGTATATAAATGCATGGGTTTATTTAAAATGTATTGTTATTATGATTAAATTTAATACAAATGTTATTAATTTGTAAACAGTATAAGAAAAATTCAAAATGTAAAATAACAGTTAAATAATGAATAATATCTATAATGTACTTATACTTTATTTTCTCAAATATTTAAAATTATTGCATTCATTCATCGTACGTTTATTTATTTATTTTTTTAATAATAAGAACTTTTTGCCAAAGTTGCATAGTTATGGAGGGGTGGTTAAAAAAATAGATTTACGCGTTAAACAGTTTTACAGTTCTCCCCTCCAATCTTTGTTAAAGCCATGATGCTGGAGTAAAATTTATGTACTGACATAAATCGTTAACAGTGAGATTCAATGTGTCGCCAAAAATCCCGGCTATTTGTTATTGAGTGAGAAAAATAATTTAATTAAAAAATTTATTAATTAATTTATAGATTTACAACTTCTAAAGTTGCCACATTTTAATAATTATACCAACAGTACAAAATGATTGTGTTATTTATGGAAATTCAACTAAACCTAACCGCTTATACCTTATTTATAGTTTAAATTATATATAATTTTTTTTTTTCAATCGTTTTAATAGTTATAATTTCATTTTTATTTTCAGTAAAAAKATACTAAAATATAATTAAATAATTTTATTTTGGATACGGTGTTAAAATAATTAAATATTAGCTAGGTTTAGAGTTAATAATTTTTCATAAAATTTCATATACTTTTTTTCATTCATTAGGGCTAGGGGTTAATTATTCGTATCTACTGTAGATTTAGAAATAAATAATATAACTATTGAAATATCATCTGAAATAAATAAATACATTTTTATTAGATATATTTAATTAGATACATCATGAACTTTAGTCAAAGTGTCATGAGAGAGTATATTAGACTTTTTGTATAAAACGTGACTTAATTATTAGAATATAAACGTAAAAGTAACCATTGAAACTTGAAAGATAAATCAATAGTTTAGATGTGCTTGTTGTCTGTTGATACCTTTGACTATATTTGGACAGAAATATCACCTTAACACTATAACATTTCGGTTTCAATCTTTCATGTTGTCTGTGAGACAATTTTCTGTATAATCAGCAAATCCAAAACATTGAACATCAGACGCACGCTCTGCACTTTAAATCGTGAATCGAGAATCTAGATGCTCACTTATCTATTATTCATTTTAATAGGATATGGAATTGTCTAACACTAAAATAGAATATATTGATATCAACAAATTGTATATAACCATAATATGTAGTTATTAAAACTGTTGAAAATGTATACAAATAAAATATATTTTTTTTTTCATTGGTTTTGAAATTAACTAATAATTTTTGTTTCGACAACAAAGGCCATTAGAATTACATTTAATATCATAAAATATTTTTATTTATATCCTTTTAATACCAATTTTAATAGAATAAATCAAACAAAAAGTAAAAAATATAATTCAAAATAATACAAGAAATTCACTTAAAATTAAAAAACATAAATTTGTTTCAAAAAAATAAACAATAACTATGTCTTAGTTAMCTGATAAATATTGTTTTCTGATGATTTAGAATATGTCTCTTTTTTACATTAATAATCGATGTATACGAAAATAATGTACACATTTTCAAATAAATACAAAAACTTTAATACTAATTTTAAAACWTACGCCATATCAAGTTCTGTTTGTGATATTCAGTCAAGATTTTTTTTACTTGGTCAAATAATACAGTTTTTTTCCCTGGACCAATCCGATAACCTTTAGCCCCACAATAATAATAGCTAAATATATTAAAACTTACGCAACTTCATAAAAAAGTAAAAATAAAGCTACAATATAAATATTATTGTAGGTAAGTTATTTAATTTCAGATCAACGTCTTAAATTCACAAGAAAAGAAAATAGTCATCCTATGAAATGTTATATTCAAAAACTTAACTTTAAATTATTAATGTATATGATAAAATTATGAAATACACTCTACGTTTAAATGTCAACAAATCTTAAAGATCATTGTAATGACTAATGGSTATATTAAATTATTTGAATTCAACCATAAATCATCACACATGAAAAGTGATTCTGAGTGTAGATCTTATGCTCTCTCTCATTGTTAATGAAATTTAATAATTTTTTTTTTTTTATATGAAATATACAATCTGTACCCTGAGGCACAATAAGAATATTGGCTAATTTACAATGACACGAATGAGTTGTTGGAAGAAGCAACCCAGTAGTGACACGTGACACTTCCTATTGACTAAATTTAATAATTAAAAAATTAATTGAAAATAACTCATGAATACCTATACCTAAATATAATCATTTTCCTGTTAATTTGCTATTATGATTAAAGGTAGAAAACCTTGCTGGTAATCTTCTAATAAATTCCTTATGTTAGTAATTAAAAAAAAACTTCTATGAATTTCTAACTAAAATAGCACATTGTGTAGAATGGACGAGAAGTAAGTTATTTTAGTCGCAGGCGAGGTCCACAATTCGCGCTAGACTAAAATTTTATTATCCTCCCGCACGAAYCATACATTTTTTATTTTTGAATTAAAAAATTGTATTAAAAGGTCCCTTTCAAAAAAATTTTGATACCGGTTACCGGTTTTAAACTGATCCAGTGGTTAGTGATAATCTATTACCAGTACAATATTCAATATTATAAGTTACTTATTAAGTGATTATCACTTGTATAACGGTTTTCTAAAAAGAATGAATTACAACTTACGTATTATCATTTAGAAATAGTTTTAAGAAGTTATTATTATTTAAGTAGGCAAATTGTATTAAAAATAGTATAGCTTATGAAGTTATGACCATTAGTAACAGTAATCGGGACTAGAAGATTTAAGGTTACCAAAATTCCGGAAAAATTTCAATTTTTGTTAAGACCAGATAATTGGTTTCAAGCCCTGATTTTTGGTCATGCTTCTAAGTTCATTGATCATATTAAAGGTAATCTATGCAACAACTAGATAATTCTACGAAAAAAATAAAAAAAATAATAAAATATAAATATTTTGGTGAAAGATTTCGATTACTGGGTTTATGTACAAATTCCTATTTTTCCTTTTTTTTTTAGAATTGTAATTTTCAACATTGATCTTCTAAATTCTGCAACTWGACTAATATTTTTCTATTTTTTGATGTCGAAAATCAGAGAATTGTTATTAYATTGATGACAGAAAAAAACACACGTCATAGTAAATACAATACATTCATCGCTAATATCATAAAAACTTTAAAAAACAAAATATCTATAAGTATAGCTTAAAATAAAAAAATTTTAAATTTTAAAATTTGAATAAAGCTATTTTGTGAAACTGAAGTATTTATGGTAATTTATTTTTGAGTTGTACTAAAAAAAAAAATCGATTTCGATCAAAATTGGTATTGCATGAAAAAAAACCATCTTCTATTAATTTTTTCTGTTATTGTTGATTATTTAGAAATATATTAATTAGTATTAATTTTGAGCTGTTAAGAGCACCTAATAGATTCAATAATTTACCAGAAACCATCTTCAATGTTGAAAGTCAACATATTTTTTATATTAATTATCGTGTGTAAAWACAATTACAAATTCTATAACTTATTCATCGCTCCCCTAAGAAACTAAAATGACGGAAAAACAGGGACCACATACCTTTTTGACGTAATAAATTTGGTTGTATTTAAAAAACTTGTAACCTTATTAAAAGTAATATWAAAATCTTAAAATAAAAATTAAGTAAAATTTAAACCTTTGTTGCTTCATTTGTATATATACTATATTACAAATATAATTACGTTACTTAAGTTGAATTTGAAATGTTTATGATGGTTTATGTCCTAAAGGAATAACATAGTTGGAAAAATATCAACCCTTTGGGAAATTATAAGAGTTTAAGCAATGTATTCATTTATTTCTAAGGTAACTCTTTAAAAGGTAGCATTAGTTGTTTATTACCGTCAGGCTAGTAAAATTGAATAATATCTTTAAATTTGTATTTTCAATATTCACCGTGCAAACATTTCAAAATAATGGTAAAWAGTTCTTAATTTTCAATTAAAAAGTTTGATATATATTTTAAATAGAAAATAGCTAACATAATATTATAATTTGTGCGTATAGTTTAAAAAAAAAATAATTAGCCCCTAATTATTCAAGACGGACTTTTAATTGAAGATAAACATTGCATTATTTTAATTTATTTGTTATTGAAATACTCTATTCGCCCGTATGTTTGATGCAGACGAAAAATTAGTGTGTGCTTGCTAGTATAATATATTGCCCATCTCYGTTTCAGATAAACTTATATTTAGGAAATTTGTTATTAACAAATTATTTTTGTTATTTTATGTTAATATATAATAAGCAAATATTATGTAAATATTTTATTTTTAAACATYGGATGTATATAGAAAATAACTATACTGTTAAAAAGTGTTCATTGTTCAAGTTCAATTTTTACTTACCCACAACTACGATTTGTTTTGAGACGAGCTCAGTTTTTAATGAAGGTCCGTCAGTTGTTACTTCACAGCTCAACTTTCCAGACAGATTGAAATCGACATCCCTCAGAAATACTTGTGTGGCATTTGATTCAGATAACTGAAATAATATAAATTTTGTTTTTCACAATCGTATACATTCAGTATGAGTATACTATAACTATTGTATATTTATATAAACTATCACTCTCTATGTATTTTAACAATTTATGTAAGATACAGGAAATGTAGTCAGTTATTATTCTATTTGGAAGTTAATCTGTATAAAAACATTTGTATTGTAAAAAACATTAATCCCGATTTGTTTATATTTATATATTTTTTTTTACTATTATAAAGTGTTTCTGACATACAATGCCATCAAACTTAACTATTTATTTTAATGTGTATGCATGCAAGCTTTAGATTTAAATTTTGGAAAAATCGAGATTCATAGAAAATACATACTATTTTAGAAATAATAAATGTMATTATTATTTCAAATACCTACCAGTGTTTGTGTATTATTTTAATTATTAAAATATTAAATTAATTAACTGAAAATACATTGAAATTTAAAAATGTTTTACTGCAATGTGGTTAATAATTAAATTTACGTAAATAAGTACCAACTTACTTAGAAATTCAGTACGTAAGTACTATCGATTATCAAGTTATAAATATATAAATATATAAWTTTTTTAAAATATAAATTACTAACTTCTACCAAACGTCAATACACTTATTACACTATTATGACGTCATATAGAAATTACACAGAGTTATTGCATTTAATTTGGTGTTTTTAAGACAAAAATGATTTATCCTTGTGATAAACATACTGACAGCTATCACTAAAACATGGTAGGCATTGAAAATCAGTCGCAAATAGTCTATGACAAGTTTATAACAACTTTTCTYGTCTTTGAAGTAAACTTAACCAACACAATTCTTCCCAAAACGAAGATTTATGAACTCAGACAACTTTTACCAATGACATTGCTTTCTCTTCATTTTGGACCCAGAAGAAAATAAATTGTTCAAAGCTTATAAATCAAGATACGACCACGAACTTACAAATTATTATTTGAGCTCTTATACACGTTAATCAATTATATCCAGTTTTCATAAAATTTTTAAAAAAGTCGCATTCAATATAAACACATATTACATTTCAAAAATGCGGATATAAAATCGTATATTTTGTTATTACTTAACAAACTAAACATTGTAAGATCTGTTATTTAATAGTTTAATATCAYAACAACTAAATACATATATCTTACTTTAGATTATGATAAAATAATGTTTTGTTGTAGACATCAGGAATATTTTAAATATGTTGTAGAGATTATAGGTTTAGGTAATAGCTATATTTATTACCTACTTATGTATATTTCATTATATCATTCAATTTAATAATCACAGTAGCAAATAAGTTAATTTTAATTTTTAATTACCCAAAAACAAAGTTATTGAAACTTATACAATATTTATTTGAGAAATAAAATAATCAGTTGTTATATTAACATCTTACAAATAAATAATTAAGCTATTGTATTCACTTTTAATGATATATGTGTTTATGACACTAAATATATTTGAAAATACATAATTTATTAATTATTTTTGATAATATGATATAATAAATATTATAGGATTTTTTATGATTTTTATGATTTTTATGATTTTTATGATTTTTTTTGCATAGATATCGAAAACAGTGGCCATTAGTTTTTATATCAATTGACATTTTTTACTAATGAGTAAAGTTTCTTAAATTATGTTATTTAATTTAAATTGTACAATTTATATTTTATAATTATATAATTACTTACATATATAATATTGAAAAATATTTTCTTTAATTTGGTTTGTTTAAAATACTATTAGTCTCATTAAAATCATTAAACAAAACTACCAAATCAGTGCAAACAATATATTGTATACTAAACAATGTACAATGAGTTTTTCTAGTGTGAAAATCATTATAATCATATTATAAGATAAACATTTAAATAATAAATGTTATTCAGTTCGGTTCCGATTGTCGTTAGTTTATTAACAGTATGCTCGCATACACTTAATCATATCCTCTTTTATGGCTTCGACCATATTCATATAAATCAAGTTATTATGTCATCGCGACCTAATGTGGTTTCTTCCAAAATTAYGAACAAAAGAAATCTTCTCTATCGCCAAAGGTTGAAGAAAAGAAAACGAAGTTATTCACGAGTCCAAATCGGATTTCCGTTCTCGCTAACCGTGACGAAGCTAACRTGAACCTATCCGGTTCCAACGTCAAAATCCGCAATAGCGCCGATAAACCATGTAAGGTACCACCTGTTTACATAAAAAATGTGGGCAATATCTCCAATCTCCATCTTCACCTTCAGCCTCATGACCATTCTCGAATCTACAGATTTTATCTGTAAATCCACGCCCTCCTATCTTACCATCCGCAAGCATTTCGTCGAACATTACGACCTGTTACTAACACATTTATAAGAKAATGATTATAGTTATCATTCTTATCAGCCCGACGACGTCTTGCGTACGATACGAAATTTCCAMCCATCCACTGCACACGAAGACATTATTGCCGGCCTTTCAGAATTGGGTCACCAACATACACAACATAAAGCGTTTATCGGACAAAACGCCCTTGCCAATTTTCTTCGTCAACGTCAAAAAGCTACCAATGACTATGACATATTTAAGGTTAAGTTCCTTTTTAAATCAGTAATCGTTGTCGGAAAATCTCATCCACCAAAGAGCATTCTACAATGTTATAATTGTTAATTTTACGGTGACGCCAGAAAATACAGTTACCATGACCCATGATGTGTGTAGGCGAGAGYCTACCATTTCTACTCCTTCTCCTAAATACAATTCTACCACAGCCGCTTCTGGTACCAATCAACCGTCTTATGCCCATATGGCTTTCTCCGGTCAAAATGTTTCTCAACCTTCTTCAAGGATCGAAACTATGTTAACCTCATTTATCTCCGAATTCTCGAATATCATAAAACCACTTTTTACTTCACTATTATATAATTCACAATTATAAGCAATTCCAAATATATAATCACGTTATTCCACACATTTTTATTTGTTAACCATCTTTTCTTTATTTGTATATTAATTATTTCTTATATTTCGTACGTCTATATCCTATATATTTATATTACATATGGACTTATCGCCATTGAATGTTCAAATTGCAATAATAATAATAATAAAAAAAATAAWACTACCTATTAATATTAATTATCTTTTGTGCTGTATATCTGACTGTTTGCTATATTTCCGTTATCTATCTATATCTATATCATTATTACTATTATTACTTTTATCRTCATTAATATTGCTAGGTACATAATATGTATCCCTAATATTTTAATAATTGTTGATCCATAATAGTCTACGATTGAAGGCTAATAAAAAAATAAAAAAATAAATGTTATTTCTGTTGATGTTGATGATATCTAAAATGAACATTCCAAAATTAAAATATCTTGGCGTCAATAAGTAGGTGTTTAATTAATTAATCTAAAAACTATCTGAATTTATCTTAAGTTATTTTTTTTTTTTTAATTTATATATATTTGCCAAAATGATGAATCTTAGTTACCAAAATAATTAAACTATTTTAAATTTAGATTAGCAATATAACTTCAAGCATTAGAAATAAATTTAAATTTTCAATATAAATATGTAGGTACCTAGTAATAATATAGCATTTATCTTATTCAACTAAATAAATAATATTACGAAGTTAGCTTTATAAAACTGTCAGTAACTTTTCAGATCATATCCAAGAATATTACATCTGACAGTCAATTATAAAAACAATCACAAAACGATAGAAATTAGTGAAAAGATTCCGTTAAAACAATTTAAAGTTTTTACTTCTCCCGAATTATGATGTTCCCGGCAAACTGCATTTATTATTTACTTTTATACTTTTTAAATTTTTTCATGCCTATTTTATTTGTATTCTTATTCAAACTTATTTCCCTAGAAGTCGGTGACATAGAAATATGGCACATGAATAGCTGTCAGAAAATGAATCTGAAGAACTTTTCTCAGGAACCAAGTATAATATAATATAACACAGACAGGTGCATGTATTATTCAAACCGTATGATTTATGTGTTCATACACACTAACATGGAAATAAATACATGGGCACACGATGCGTTTAAACTTATCTGCGGTAACAGTCGTTGATGACCGGAAAAACGGTTTTACCGACGTTGACAACAATGTTTTTGTTCGGCCTGTGCCCTTTACCGGCCATGTCGTCCACCGACCCTAATGCCTATGTTAGTTCTCAGAAAAAAAAAAACTTTTTCGAGACTATGTGAAACTCGGAAGCTTTTCTGACAATAAAACGGAAACGCGCATTAAATCAAGTCGATTTAAGTCACATAAAGGAAGACAAGGAGAGGATAGAGGGAAAAAAGGTTTACGATGACAGGCTTGGGATTTTATTCGAGAAACCAGCTGAATGTCTTCACGAGATTTTTTCGATTTTTTATTGTCCTATGACCATTATTTAACAGCATTCAAAAACTAAACAATGGGGTTAGTATTTCCTAAAAAAATCCTATAATTACTCTTATGTACRTAATACTAAAGACAAATTATTGTACGTTGATAACCGTTTTATTAAACTTTAAAAAGAAACGAATGTTCATCCTTCATTGTACTTTATATTTTAAGGATGTTCAAATATCGATGTCATTMAATCACTTTATTTTATGTGTATGATGTAAATACATAGTCTACTCTTGTTTGTTTTTTCTATCAATAACTATATTTGTAAATAATTATTTGAATAATAATTTATTATTATACTAAAGGTTTACATTATTATCCATAGTTCTCAGTATATGTTTTAAATTTGTAAAAATGAAAAAATTGAGACGAAAGTAGTTTAAACATTGGCGAATTTTGTGTTTCTTTTAAATCGTTTATAGCCTATTTTGGAGTTATTTTACGTTAATATTAAAAAAAATTAACTTAGAAATTTAAAATAAATATCCATAATATAATTAGTTTTAAAGCTTAGGTTTGAATCAAAGGATCATATTACGTTATGATATATTTGACAAATATTTATGTATAACGATGAGTGCAATGAAATTTTTTGTATACACGAATTAATTTTAATTTCCTTGTTTTTAGATTCTGAACGGAGTGATGAATGTATTGATTTTACAATGTTGTGTGTTTTTTTTTGTGTCTGTGTACAGCATAACTAGTCGAAATAATGCTTCAATTTCAAACTTTGGGGGTGGTTTCCGATGGAAAAGAGAATATCCTTGGTGCATAATACAGTCAAAAGTAAACATTTTCCAAAAGTTTTCAAAAAAATCKAGAAAAACAAAAAAAAAAGGACATAAAAACAGGAATTTTTACGCGAAACCAGTTTTCGACCAAATCGATTTATTTATATGGTTGTAATTCAAAAACTAATCATTGTAAATACTTGAAATTTTCACCAAATGTTTATGTTAGTGTTATCTATATACAGTTTAATTTTTGAATTTTTTTGAGTTATTTATAGACAACTGAAATTTTCGATTTTTATGAGAATTTTTTTTGAAGTGTCGGTAAAAATATTGGACGACCAAAAAAACTTGAAAATTTAATACAAGGTTCCTTTTGAGTTGTTCTTATTGTAGCTCATAAAAATTTAAATTCGTTTATCACAATTATTTTTTGTAAGTGTTTATAGTTCAAATTTTTCCGAAATCTGTCGAAAATGCGAAAATTTGTAAGTAATTTGAAGTTGAAAAATCATAAAATTTGTTGTGTTTACACCWAARGATTAAAAATACAACAATAAGTTTTCCATAAGTTTTTCTTCAAGTAGCTATAGAGAAAACTCGAAGCATCATTATAGGAAAAATTTTAAGTGTGGTTGAATTTTAAATTCTTACGAAATTGCGTAACGATAACGATTTATCCTCAAATGATTTTAAACATTTGTGATTATTCAAAAAGTATAAGTTGTAGATACTTGAAAATTTTACCAGTTATTTAGATTGGTATTTTCTTTATATGGTTTAATTTTCAAAATATTTTGATTTTTTTTTTGAGATATTTATAGACGACTGAAATTTTAAATTTTTCTGAAAATTTTTTTTGAAGTGTCGATAAAATTTTTTCGGTCCTTTTACCCGCTTTTTTWAAATTTATTTAAGGAAATAATTATACCCAHTAAGGTTTAAATTGTTTAAATATTATTTTAGATTTTTCATCCTTGTGTTATATTTATGTATCTTACTTTCTTATTTAACGTAAATTCACGGCTTTATCATTTTAGTAAAATATTTTTCCAAAACAGCTTTAATAACACTGATTCTGATTTGTAGATAACGTGTACTTACGTCTACATTAAGCCCACGAAATGGAAATGTCTGCGTTCTGGGTAACATCCCTGGAGAGTACCTRTAGAATTCGTATCCCCCTCTATACCATTTGACCGACAACATTGGAGCTCCGTCTAAATTGTAATTGCAATATATCATGACATCGTGTCCTCTTTCTACTGCTGGAGGTATGATCTGTATGGTAACGTTGTGCAAACTTCGGACGATATCTATAACATTATATAATACATAGATTTTAGTTGGTAATGGTTCATAGTAATATTAATATAAAATATATTTAAATTACAGATTACAATACACAATAATACACATATTGATACAGCGACTTTTTTTTTAATACATATAACATTGTAAATAAAATTATGTCATACAATACAAATATATGTGACTCTATTACATTTATAAAATATATTATAAACGATATCCGTATTGGAAAATGATAAAATATGATTTTAAAGAAAAATCGAGAAATAAAAAGTACAAAATACTGAGTTGGGTTASATATTCTGGTCACTATTAACTTATTCCACTTCATGTTAGTGTTGTATCATTACATTCAATTTGAAATTGAAAATAAATATAATCATGTAAACTACGATCCTRAGCTGATATAAAGAAACTAGATGTGTACATCCAACGTTATTGAAAAGTTTTTCTTTCTAAAAATACAATCCTCGTTGGGATTTGAACCAAGGTCCTCTTCTAGGTTTCTCTAAAGGTAATGATTTGCTGCAGGCTTATGTATTTACCTATATCCTGGAAAGCAATTGGGAAATTTTAATTTGTAGGTATAGGTTCCTATCATTTCTATCATCATTAAATATGCAACTAGTCTGTCCAATTTATAAAATATTATCCTATRTAGAAAGTATGACGTATGACATTTAATTTATTATGCATCATAAAATACATCATTATACAAAAAATATAAATTAAAAGTAAAATAAATTGTATGGGTTAACCAAATGTGTCCTAGTTACTCTCTCTCTCTCTCTCTCACACACACACACACACACACACACAAAACCAACGCAATAAAAATAAATTTGTGAAACGTAAAACACAGTCGAACATTTTACTATTCATACGTTTATAGTTAAACCAAGAATGAAAAATTAGGTAACCTCGCTGATCAATTTATAACTAAATGAGTTCACAACAACTTATTAGATATCAAGTCAACCTTACAGAATTTTTTCCTTGATACTGTATAGCATATGTATAGTACATAGTGTATAATATAATGTTATGTATAAATACCAATAATTCACCATGTCAGCTAATGGCAAAATCAATTGAAGGCCTGTTTCATAAAACAAAATTTATGAATAAACCTAACGATTTACCCAGATATGTTTTTTTTATTACTAAAAAAAAATCTCTAGCTTTTTGAACATACATAATGCAATAGGTCTAATCGAAACATTATGCATTGATGCAAATTAAATTAAATTAGAGTACACCTAAATAACATTTGAAACAGCATGTTGTATTATAATTTAAAAATCAAGCACTTAAAATATTATAAATGTAGGTGCTTAGTAATGTTATCATTTTAGACGAACGTAAAAAAAATTAATACTTATAATACACGATAATACTATTTTAAATATGTATTAACGTATAGAAATTTACGTTCATTAAATAAAAATTAAGKTTATAACTTATAATCATAACGTTTTGTTAAAAATAAGTATCCCATTTCATACACAATTATATTATAAGTGCAATTTAATAGTAAATTTGTTTACAATATTATCATGTCGAGTGTGGAAGTATATAGGTAATAATATTATTTTCTACTCATTTTTGTTTGAAATTCGTTCAATGAAAATATTTTCTAATATAACTAGTCCGACTTCTTAAGTATGATTAAGAAAAATATAATCAGGGATTAGGATAGGACGATTAAAGGCCTTTCATTACAAGATTGACTTTTTAGTGTATAATATTATCACTAGTCAGTAGTGCGATATCTCGTTATAAATTATTATAGCTCAGATTTATGCATTTTTTTCGGTACTCGTTAACCCATCCACCAGTTTCAAACGCTATTCAAATAATTTTGAAACATTGCCAAGTATTTTGAACCTCAGACAAATTCATACACTATAGTACTCCTGAAACCTATAGATCTAGAGCTTGATAAATTCACAATTTATGTTGTCAGATAAGATTCTTGGATGTTTTTATAAACATCTAAAAATATATATATATATATACTTAGTATTATATAATGAAAGATAAATAAAATATAGACAATATATAATACTTGTAGGTAAATCAGGATAAAAATATATTTTAATAGGAAACTTGGTATCACATCGTATTCTTAACTTTTAACATACATTTTAATTGTTTTTAATTTTATTATAATATTATAATATTCAAAATTAATACGAATTATTGTAAAAATAATAGCCAAAAATAAAATGAACAAACAAATTTGGTAAAAACTCTCTACATTGTCTGTAGAATTCATATTTTGATATTCCACTTTATACAAACTAATCCTTAAAAATAAATGATTTAGCTGTAAAMGGTTTGAATTAAATAATTTACATTACCTATATAATATATATAATTCATTTATAATGTTTCTATTTTCTATTAAAAAATATAATCATATAACTATATTCCCTAATATAATATTATACTCACAAATATAGTGTCCCGTGATTAAATTATTAATGGATACGGTATTCGAATTAATAATACTTGACAATTGTGTCAGATAATCAGAATTTATAACCCATAAGTAAACCGTTTGATTATTTATTTAATTAATGAAGTTAACTTCATTTTTACTATTTTTGCAATAAATTCTATGCCATAAAATGAAACTAATCATTTTCTAAAACCTTTGAAAATGGTGTTTGATAAAAWTTTTTTTTTAAGTATGTTGGTATACCTATATATTTAATTTTCACAAAATATATTTAGATTTATAGATTTGCATAAGATTGGCTCATACATTTCAATTCACCATGATTGCAGGTAATGCCCTTTATTAAAGACGATTCAGAAGAATTATTGTAAAAATATCATACATAAATTCTGATTTGATTTGACATTTGGATCTATAGTTGATTTTATTGACACTTCCAATTGTTTGTACAATTTAGGTTTGCTATTAAAAAGCTATTGCTGAATCTATAAGTATTTATAATTTATAAATTATTATAAAATGTTAAATTTGTTTAGAGTATTTAAGGAGTAATATCTGTAATTACTGAACCGACACCTACTAAAAATTATAAGAACACATAGTAAAATGTGTACAGTAACAATTTAAGTATTTAAAGTGTATTTTAGTGGCATTTTATGTTTGGGATAATACAATAATGATGGAAACTACTGGCTAGATTTATATATAATATTTTAGATTCTGAGCGGAGCGATGAATGTATTGATTTTACCATGATGTGTGTGTTTTTTTAATTTATTTTTATTTTGTGTCTRACATCACGTTTTGGGGCAGTAAAAGTGCTTCGATTTTTGACTTCAGTACCTCATTCGATCAAAAAGTGAATCTAGTTGGTACTTTGGGGGGTCAAAAGTAAAAAATTCTTTATACTTTTCTAAATAATCGAGATAATCAAACTAAAAATTAAGGGATAAAAATGGGAAATTTTACGCACACTCATTTTTCGACAAAATCGATTTTGGTTTTTGATGCAATTTTAAAACAAATGACCATAGATACATGAAATTTTCACCGAATGATTATATAAGTATATTCTATCCACCATGCAATTTTCAAAAATTTTCGACTCAAGTTGAACCATTTATAGGCATTTGAAATTTTCGATCATTATTAGTTTTTTTTTAAATTAATATCGATAAAAATTTATTTGTTAGGCAGAAAA